TCATCATCATCTCAAAGCATTTTCTTTCTACTTCAGCCCTTGATTTCAGCTCTTCATTTTTCCCCCGCCCTCCCTCGTGAACCCTTGATAAGTTATAGATTATTATTTTCATATTTTACATCTTTGTCTGTCGCCCTTCACCCACTTTTCTGTTGTTCGTCCCACTGGGAGGGTGTTACATATTGATCCTTGTGATCGATTCCCCCTTTCTCCACCCACCTTCTCCTTATCCTTCTGGTATTTCTATTCTTATTGGCTCTAAGGAGTTTATCTTTCCTGGATTCTGGGCTCTTATCTGTAGCAGTGTGCATGTTCTGGTCTAATCCAATTCATATGGTAGAATTGAAGTCATGAAAGTGGGGGGAAGGAATCATTAAAGAACTAGAGGAAAGTTGTGTGTTTCATTGGTGTTATACTGCACCCGGACTGACTCATCTCCTCCTTGTGACCCTTCTGTGAGGGGATGTCCAACTGTCTACAGATGGGCTTTGGGTCTCCACTCCATGCTCCCCCCTCCCCCCCTTCACATTGGGTATGATTTTGCTCTGGGTCTTAGATGCAGTGTTCTTGTGTTGAGGGAGTCCTTGAGTTAAGGCCCAGTGTCCATCTGCAACCTTAATTCTTATTTTTTGCAACCTTAATTCTTAACATATAGATATAAGTACATAGATCTAATTCCCTCTCATTACATATGCACATGCCTGTATTTAGAACTCTATAAATGTCCTTTGCCTCTTGGTTCTTCCATCTATTTCCGTTAACTTTACTTTTGTCCCACCATCATGTTCAGCCTTCATTCGGGTTTAGTAATTCTTCGCTGATACGTTGTCCTTGATTAAGCCGCACTAAGCATCCTACGCCCTTCTCTCCATTGATTTAGTTCACTTGTTGTTCCCATGTCCCTGGGTTGGTTTCTCTCCACCCCTACTCCCCACCCTCCGCCCACCTTCCTTTCTCCCACCTCCCCTTCTCCCATATCCCCCCTGGAACTATCGGTCCTGTTCTTTTCATCTCCAGATTGTTTATTCCGCCTTTCTTAATCTAGTTAGACATGCAGAGAAATTAATAAGTGCAAAAACCAGACAAAGCCAAATAAAACAACGAAAGAAGTCAAAACCAACAGAACAATAACAACAGCAAAAAGCCACTGACAAAAATGGAAATGCCTATAAATAGTTCAAGGTCTGTTACTGGCCTTTACGAGTGTTTTCCAGTCAAGTCTGATGGAGTGCCACACTCTGTCTCCAAAGTCTATTTTGGTATTCCCCAGGGATTTCATCACTTTGCTCCCCTTGCTGCGCTGTTGCATGTCTTTAGTGTTTTGCCCCAGTGTGGTGGAGTCGGATTGAACACAGTTCCCATACTGTGCCTCCAGTGTTGTTCCCTGTAGCGATGTGGTTCAGTGAGGTGAGTTGTGCCTTGTGGTCGGGCCAACCTTATAGTCCTGTCTGTACATTGTCTGCTCTGAGCATTGTCTGCTCTGAGCAGGAATATCGTCCTCGGGGCTTGGTGGGCCAGGATGTGTTCCCCTCTCAAGCTGTAACTTTAGTGCTGTCCTCTGAAGTGCATTTTGGTGGGGGGGGGGTTGTGGGGGGTGTCCACATAGTTGGGGTTGGGGCTGGCCCCATAGACCTCTTTATTGGTTTCCCTGTATATGCTGGTATGTTATATTCACGTCTTGGTGCTTCGGGTTGAAGCCTGGTCTCTTTCTCTTTCCTGTGGAGACATAAAAAATACTCTCCCATTGGGTGGATTAGTGCCCTGCTTCCCCCTCCACCCCCAATGTCTGTTTTTTCTTTTTCCCCTCCTATTTAGTTGGCTGCCATATATATTCCGTGATTGGGTTTGACCCCTGCCATAGTACCTGGACCTCACCCCAGAAATGTATGCATATAGTAGGTTTTCCCCTATGTCCCATGTTTTAAGTTTTCTTCAGTGGACTCGTTATACTTGTCCTTTTGTGCTTGGCTTACTTCACTTAGCATGATTTCCTCCAGTACTTCCCATGAGGCAGTGTGCTTCATGCATTCATCACTGCTTTTTAGGGATGCATAGTACTCCAATGTATGTATGTACCACAGTTTTTTGATCCATTTGTCTGTTGATGGAAATTTGGGTTGTTTCCAACTCCTTGCAATTGTGAACTGTGCCACAGTGAACATTGGAGCACTGATGTCTGGCCGTGGTTTGTTTCTTGCCTCTTCTGGGTGTATGCCCAGTAGGGGGATTGCTGGGTCATATGGTAGCTCAATTTCCATCTGTTTTAGATACCGCCAAATCGACTTCCATAATGGCTGTACATACTTATACATCCACCAGCAGTGGATGAGAGTTCCTATCTCACCACAGCCCCTCCCAACACTTGTTACTTTCTGATTTTTTTAATTATAGCTGTTGATTTTTGTAATCCCCTTTTTCATATTGATGGGAATGCCTTTCTAATTTGAGAGTTTTTATGTAGAATTTTGTTGACTGCTGGAATTTTTTTATTCCATTGAATCAAGAATCTACAGAATGAAAACTATGAAGTTCATAGAAATTTGACTAACTTTGCTTGCTTTTATTTTATCTTATCACTTGCTAACTTTGCTTTCAAAAATGAAAGTATAATTTGGATGCACTTCCTGTTTGTTAATGTATAAAAATCCACATCACTAGGCATCAGTAAGAATTGGTGGCAGGCTGCAGTAAAGCACCAATGAAACACAATATTCCTCTGGTTCCTTGAGACTTCCTCACCCCCACTACCATGACCCAGTGATGCCTCTCACTCCGGAGTAGACCGGAGCATGTACACGGGTGTAGATTAAGAGATACGAGCTCAGACCCACGCAGCCCAGGAGCAGGAATGGGAAGGGAGGAGGGGAAGAAGGGGGACCCGATCACAATGACTGACACAACCACACACACCCTCCAGGGGAAAGAACAACGGAAACCATGGGGGAAGGGAGACAGTAGTCCACTTGAGATATGAAAATAATAATTATAATCTATCAAGGGGTCACAAGGGTGGGGTGGGGGAGAGGAGCTGATACCAAGGGCTCAATAGAAGGTAACTGTCTGGAAAAGAACAGTGGCAACATATGTACAAATACGCCTGCTAAATTGATGTGTGAATTGTAGTAAGTAATGTAAGACCCCTCAATAAAATGATTTTAAAAAATGAAAAATTGGTGGCAATGTTCGCACAGCTTGACAGTGATTCGGATAAAGGAGGGCATCTTTAATGTAAGACTTAGACGTTTTAGAGTATGCTGATAAAAAGTATATAGTATATAATGTAATCATCATTTTGGTTAGGGACTGTGATTTCTGAGTCAGACCACTTCAATTCTGGAACCACTAATAGAGAAGTTAGTTAACTTCTCTAACTTCCTCCTATTCTGTTTTTTGTTAGGATTAATTAAGGTCATTCACTTACATGCCCAGTAGTTGTTAGCTGTTGTTCTTATTAATTGCTATTATGATAACATTGTTTTAAAGCAAATATGGCTTACATTCAAAGTTGTTTATTTCTTTTTCTGTAGACAGGGATGACTTTGAATGAGCGGTTTGGGATCCTGAAGGAACAAAGAGCCACTCTCACGTTCAACAAAGGAGGAAGCCGCTTTGTAACCGTGGGATAGATCTCCTGTCAAAGGAACTTTTTGACTGTTTGAAAAATTACTTGGAGAGTTTGTCACAGGAATTCAAGAAACTATTTGAAAATAGTCATAAGGCTAAATATAAATAACACATTTTTATTTTTGAAGGTTTTTTTTTAGAACATGTATAAAATAATACCCTGAAAGAATAACAGGGATATCTATTTGTTTTAAAGATTTTATGGTTGTCCGGAAAGAACAGTTCCTCTATTTGACTTCTTTGGTTCCTCGTGTAGCAGAAGAAAAGCAGAAAGATAGAAAGTGATTATTTTTCTGGGACTGGGATTTAGTATCTTGTATCCTTTGCTCAGTTTTTAGACTTTGCCTTGGTAAACCTTGGTCTTCAGAAATATGAGTGAATGTTTGTTGCCGTCACTTATCCTTTAATAGTGTTGGATGTAAGTGTTGGTTGCAGTTGCCTTCTCTTCAGTAGAGATATTAAAACACAAAAACCATTAAGATTCCTGTTTGGGGGTTTTAAAATTTATGAGAATCTCTGGAACTGATTTTTTCAGGTAGTATTGGGTTAATCTAGCTGTAAACCTTAGTTGCAAACTTTTAACAAAAGTTATGACTCAAGGCAGTAGAGACTCTTGGTTTTGGTACTTGGAGGTGATAAGTCTATGTTTACAAAGTTATCTGCTAGATCCATGATGGGAAGATCTAGTGTAGCAATCAGACAGTTTGTTCCGTCAATGAAGACAGAAACGGGTGGAAGAAGAGTACCTGAGGTGGAAAACGACAAAACCCGCAGTATAGGTGCATTCTTTGGGTATAGAGTAGTTGAGTAGCTAGAAGAAATTCCTCAAGTGATACTTAAAAGAAGTATATCGATATACTTGAGTAAAAGCCAGCCGGAATATCTGCCAAGGCACCTAATTTTGCCACCACAACTGCATTAAAAATGTGCTGGAAAACTCGGCTTGTACTCGAATGTATCTGGTGCTTGTTTAGATGGATTGGGTCCCTTAGGTGTTTTGCAGTAAATCTAATCGCCTTCAGGTCCTTCACATCTTTTGCAAAAGGTAAATTTTAGAAGCTTTTAAAACATGTCAAATTAAACTCTACACTAAACAACTCCAAGAAGAAAAATATGCATGTTTATGTCACAAATAAAAAAATACAAGAGTGATATTAGAGTAACACTAACCTTGTTTATACCTTTAATTTATTTTGTGTTATAAAGTACAGGGCTTCAACAGGAGAAAAAGTTACACTACCACCAAAGGACTAAACAAATTTAGTCTGTTGTGCCAAGACAGTATTGAGTTCTTGGATAATTGTATGCTATAAATTACAGTAAAATGCCAAAATGCAGCAAAATATCCCAACTATAAGTTACAAGATTGGTCACTTTGCAGTGTGACCTTTTGCTTGAAACCTCTAAGAAGGCATTAGTTTCTCTAGAATATATTAATGTTGTTGGCCTTTCCTGTAAC